ATATATTGATAATTTATTGGCAAATATATATATATATATAATATATATATATATATATATATATATATATATGTGTGTATTTATGTGCAGTGTTTTGACAATAAAATAATGTTCAGATGTATATACTTCATAAACCAGTTTTTAGCAGCAATTTACCAGTAGGCCTGAGTTGTAAGGTTTTTTTATGTATGTTAATAGCAGCCATTTTTGACGGATATATTAACCTATCATTTGTATTGCCATAGTTTAACTACAAATATTAAACTATAGTTACTATAATGAAACTACACTGAACAAAATTATAAACGCAACACTTTTGTTTTTGCCCCCATTTTTCATGAGCTTAAAACTGCACATTTTAGAGTGGCCTTTTATTGTGGCCAGCCTAAGGCACACCTGGGCAATAATCATGCTGTCTAATCAGCATCTTGATATGCCACACCTGTGAGGTGGATGGATTATCTCGGCAAAGGAGAAGTGCTCACTAACACAGATTTAGACAGATTTGTGAACAATATTTGAGAGAAATAGGCCTTTTGTGTACATAGAAAAGTCTTAGATCTTTGAGTTCAGCTCATGAAAAATGGGGACAAAAACAAAAGTGTTGCGTTTATAATTTTGTTCAGTGTATGTTAAATTTGTGGTTATTGTAGTTTTACTACAAATTACATAATTATGGTTACTATAGTGAGAGAATTGTAAATTTGTGGATACTGTGATTTTGCCGCAAATACCATAGTTAAACTAGTTACTATAGTAAAAACATGGTTAATTTAATAAGTTAACACATACACATGCAAGTTCACACAGAATAAAAACCTATTCATTTTCTCTGTCATGTAGATCAAGGTGTAGGTCATTTTTATTTTACCGTATGCCGATCATTTATCTTCTATGGTCTTTGATCGTAGCCTCTGCCTATGTAAAGCCTATGTAAAATACACTGCACGATTTTTGGCTGTCCCCGACGAAAGATTGCCATCGTGAAACAATCGTGGCGATTTCTGTGATCGTGGCTCTTAATCGGTGGTCCTATGTCATACAGTGAGAGAGGTTCAAAGACAGGCGTTTTCCCGGTCTTGCGACCAAAGATAGCCTACGATAGTTTCCAGCAGCTAAATTCAAATCTGCGTTCGCTGGCTGGCACAGAGCCAGAGACACACACGTTTTTAAAGCGCTGCCCATTATAACCAATCCCATACTATTAAGTTGAGTTTATGAATACAAAGACCAATCAGAGGCGTTCAGATGAGTCACCGCTGAAACACGCTGTTTCGTCACTGCGCGCGCTGCCTGACTGCAATCTCTGGCTAATTATCTCATCAGAAACAACAAAGTGAAGATGTACGAATGTAAGTAATATATTAATTTTACAGTGTAAACCGCTTTAGAGATTATTATGGGAGTTTGAGAGTGCTTGAATTCGCTGGAGAGAAGTGTAAACGTTCTTTGCTCTCTTTTTGTACAATGAAAGTGTTATAGGCTAATTAGTAACTTACTAATATGTTTTTTTATATTTATATTTGTATTAACTTCACATTAAATACAGAAAACCATTTTTAATGGATTTAATGATTAAAAATTGATGGTTTGTAATGTTTGTTATGTTATTTGTTGTGGAAATCATTAAAATGTTCTGTGATGGTGTTATTGTTTTATTTATTTATTTATTATTTTTTTTCAGTAGAGACATAAGCCTATATCTGTTTGTGGCTGCTGTGTCATATGACAAGCATGAGAGTTTCTTTATTCGTGCCACCTCAAAAATGATGCCTCTGACACTACAATACAAAATTATGTGTCAAATAAATGAAACATTCATTTTAGTTGAAATTGTTATAGATTACATCTAGATTGCAGCGATACATGACATGGTGAAAAATGACTGAATGAATAATAGGCTACTTAAAGTAGTTTAGTTTTATTTTATTATGAATTTTAAAATTGTGCCCCCTAAAAGCACAAGTGCCCCCCCCCCCCCCCAGTTACTGTGGTCCAGAACCGCCCCTGCAATGTGGTGAACACACAGATGATCACACCACACTATAAATATGTGCTTCTTTCGTCTTTTATTATCTTATTTGCCTTTTTAGAGCACGTTTAGCTGTGCCGTAGCGCAGACGTTTACATTAGTTTATGCCGAGTTCACATTGCACTATTTTAGCCCGATTTTTCACTCGCTGACATTCGTTACTTACTACAAAATAGAGAAGTCAGAAGAACACAGACTGCAGGAAAGCAGGTTTGACGAATCAGTGGTCTGCCGTCTGCAAGTTATGCCG